TCAGGTTGGATTGAACAACTAGTGTTGTTTTCTTGAATCATATAATAGATGCATTGTTCTGATTATCTGTGTAGATGAATTACTAGTTTTGCTTCTATATTTTCATTTTGAATATGGCTTTGAGTATACTATAGTTTCCAGTTAATATAGATGGTTGCATATGTTAGTTGATCCATTACTTCTGGTTTTATAATTTGTTTGTGTTTTCTTCTATTTGCTTTTCCAGCTGTTAGCCTTTAGGGACATAGCTCCTCAAGCTCCCACACATATTCTAATTATTCCCAAAGTAAAAGATGGCTTGACTGGTCTGTCAAAGGTAATCCCCCTTTCTCAATCATACAGGGTAAGACAGTAATTTTTTACTCTAATTTGGGGGAAGTCATAGGCCTTGCATTACAACTCTTCTTTTCAATATATCACCATGCCATCTATGAAATGTAACTCAGTAGAGTATGAATGTCCCTTTTTTCTTTGTAATTGGGTATGGCATCCACTTGAAGATATCTTGCATCAGTTAGCTTTTGCATGATTTGTGAACACCCTGTTTTATGTATTGGTAGGGATTTTACCATTTTACAAATCTGACCCCTTCAAACATAAGCCGGTTTTAGAAGATGCCGGTTTTAGAAGATGCCTGCTTGATTTTGTCTGCTAATCTGCCTGACCTGTTCTAACATTTGCCCTAAAAGAGTGGTAAACATGCTTGTAAAATGGTTCTTGTTTGTGGTGCTTTGATGCAAATACAATAGATGCTTTCTCTGCATTTCATCCTTCACTAAAGTGTTTGCCAAAATCAGAAGACCTTGGTAAAGGCACTTGAACTACGCATTGTCAATGGGTTGTTTTGTGTTCCATTTCCATAACTGTTGGCTTCAGTGTTGCTTCTTGAGCTAACTGTGGCTTAGAACAATGCATTGGCTGTATATTTCAATATTTTTGTAGCCTCATAGGCAGGAAGTGGCACTTAAACCTGACATTTATTTGGCCACTTCAGCAAGTCCTGAATATTCTTATTCTTAACCTCGAATGGTACTTTATTAAAATATTTTTATTGTTGGATATAGGACACTGTGCTCTTTTCCATGCCAAAAGATAATTGAAAGAATTTGTACAATTGTCATTGAGAACTTCTATTCTTATATCTGTAGGCTGAGGAAAGGCACTTTGAGATTCTTGGCCGCCTTCTTTACACTGCTAAGCTGGTAGCCAAACAGGAAGGACTGGAAGATGGCTTCAGGGTTGTGATTAATGATGGTCCACAAGGATGTATGTACAGTTTCTTCTTTCTCCATTTTACATGCTTAAATGTGTGTCATGTGTATGTTATAGAACTTTTATTGATGTAGGAGTGTTCCATTGCAGGTCAATCTGTTTATCACATTCACGTCCACCTCCTTGGTGGCCGCCAGATGAACTGGCCTCCAGGATAAGATGGTGTAAATGTTGATTTGGGCAGGCAAGACTTTCATTGTAATGATAGTACGGTAGTATTTGTTGTCTGCCCTGATTGATGATTGTCTAATCATAAGTAAGCAGACTAGTTACTAGCTGCTTTCTAGTAAGATGCTCTGGATGTTCCATGGCACCATCTGCAGGGCTTGCCCCATGCTGGGTAAGGCCAGTGACCCTTGTTAAGTATGAAAATAATATGCTGTGACTTAGCTATGCCCTGTGTTCCTCATTTTCTTCAAGTTTCCAAGTGAAGTGATATCAATTTACTTTTTGATGCTTTGAGCCATCCTTTGAATGTTTTTGGAAGCTTGTGAAAGATTTTGAAGCGTTAGACTGCAGGAATAAACAGTAAGATGGGGTGAAAGATCGGCATAATAAGCCAAACGGGCGCCGGTTTTTTCAAACCATTAACTTAGGAACCATGTCCTGCAACATTACATGGATCAAGACAAGTGATTTGGGTTTTTGAAACTGTGTTACCAGTATAGAAGGGTAACTCTTTTCTCCCTTCTCTTGCAGCTTCTGATCTCCTCAGTCCCTTTTAAAAACCGATTAATCATATTTGGACTGTGAGATTCTTAAAATTTTGCTTCGTTGTGACCCGTTTCTTGTTGAATTTCAATCAACAATAAGAGAGAAATGCTAATGAGCCAAGTAAATTAGCGGGAAATTTCAGTAATTGAGAACTTTGAAGGTTGAAAATAGACAATAGAAGATGATAATGAAAGTCCGCCTTTGACTTACCATTTTAGGGTCAAGACAATGGCCGTTAATGAGTAAAGTAGTTCATGAGTAATTTACGAGTTACTTGAGTTGAAATCAATTTGAGTTCAACTCATTAAATAAACAAATCAATCTCAAACTTAATATTTGATCTTGGTTGTACAATAAGAAGTAATAATCTCTCATCTCTTGTCCCACTTCACTTGTATATCACGCGACTCGAATTCGAAATCTTTTATTTTCAGTAGAAAGAGATTAACACTGAGTTATTTAAGTTATTGGCATTGGAAAATGTTGAGCTCAATAAAAAAACAAGTTTGAGCTTAAACTTTCATAATTACTTGTGAGTTATTTAAGAATATTTAGTTTTAAATTAAAAATTACATTATATATTTATTTATTAAATTTAAATATATAATATAATAATAATCTTTTTATATATAAGTTTTATACACCATACTTACATAAAATTTTAATTGTTAAATTTTATTTATATTTATTAAAAATAATAATTTTTTTTCATTTAAGAAATCATAATAAAAAAATTAATTTTATTAAATACAACTAAACTGATATAGAGCACACTATTAAAATTTTTAGGTGCATCAAAATTGACCTAAAAATACCATGATAAAAAAAAAGAAAAAAAAAAAACCATGCAGATGACAAAAAAGAAAAAAGAGAGAGAGAAGAAAGAAACCAAGAGGAAATGGTTGATTTCCTGTCTAAATATCTTTTCATTTTCATGCTAAGATATAAAATGCTTAACCTATTGTAGTTCTTCCAAAAAAATATATATATATATTAGAGCGAAGTTAATATGGACTGCAAAATATATATTTCTAAAATATATATAAAAGTCCTTTGACTCCTTCCTCTTTTATGATTAACTGATATCAATTTACTTTTTGATGCTTTCAGTCATCCGTTTAGTGTGCTCAGAAGCTTATGAAAGATTTTGAAGCATAAAAACCCAAACGGCCTCCCTGAACCAAGTCCTGCAGCATGACATGGTTCATGTCCTCATGCTGCACAAATGCAATCTAGCAATTCTCCGCTCTAACTGTGTCTCAGATATTATGACAGGATATTTGGAGCACTATATATTTAACATTCACATAAATCTTTGATTGCCTAAGGAGTTTGGCACTTACAAAAGTACATTAAATCTTCAAAGAATACACATCCACCAAATGTTTCTTGCAGTTACAATACACATAGAGCACACTCG